TCTTAATAATAGAGTTCGCTATGTTGCTAGGTATTTATGTTTTCTTATTATTTTTTTATTACTATTACTCTGATTTATGTCTTAGTTTTTGGTTGTACTATGTTTACCATTTTTAAAGTAATTTGAAATTGATTTTTATATTTTTATATATTTGTATGTGTATTTTGAATGTACTATGGCAATTAAATGCACTAAATGGGTTTAGTTTTCGCAGTTATTAATATATGCAATTTCAGCAATAAAAATGTTCATTTTTCTAAAAAGGAAACAAATTACTTGTTCATTTTAAGAGACCTGTCTTATTTTCTCTTGTATATTTAGTATTGCTCTTTAATAAAGAAAAAGTTCTTCTTATCCGATTACTCGATTAATCGATGGAATTTTCGGTAGAATACTCGATTACTAAAATAGACGATAGCTTCAGCCCTACTTCAAATTATTATTTTAAAAACATTGCAGGAACAAATCCCATGTTTCTAACTATTAAATACATTTGCTCAACTACACAATTATCAAATTACATTGAAAATAATTCCCATATTATTTTATGTTTTTGCTATCTTATTGCACAGCTCTAAATATTTGTTCCTATTACAACAGATCTAAATCTGCTTGATGCTTTATAACCTTCAGCCGCATTAATGAAGAATCAAGAATAAACACCAACCTCTTTGTTCTTCAGTGCGTTTCATTCTGCAGGGTTCTGGATCTCTCATCCTCTCTCTGTTGTCTTTAATTAATTCAATCTTTGCAGATTTTAGCGCTTTCTGGTGGTTTGATGCTCATCTTCACTTGTAGGCTCAGGCTGATGGAAATATTCCAGCATTTATTGGTGAAATCACTGATGCTGTGATTGTTGTGGGAAGAGCTTCACTGAACATTAATTTCTGTGTGGAAATTTATTATTATTTATTTATTATTATTTACACATTCAAGCATTTATGTAAGTGAAAAAATGTATATATTACTATATTAAAAGTAACAGCATTGACACAAAAAAACACTTAAAATTTGACATGCTCATTCAGTAACACTGCAATCACATATGTGGTAATTCACACATTCTATACATTTGTTCTTTCTTTTGTAACCTTTTCCCAGTTTCGTTAACTCCAGGTAAATAACTACACTAAAACACACAATATCTAAATATAGTTTGGTTTCCTAATAACTGCATTCAAAGCAGTAAAGTAATTAAATTATGAACATGTTGTAGTTTTATACAAGCAGAAGTTGACAGTGATAAACTCTTTAAACAGAAAGAGCAACACTATGAAAAATTGTAATGTTTCCAGTGTGTATATTATAAACCTGTTCATATTTATGTGAAGATTTAAAATGTCCTACTATCTATTCAGTATGAAGTATTCAGCAGAATCTGTTCTTAATTTTAACCATGTAAAGTAACTAACGTTACAACAGGAGATACCGGTTCTCATCCATTACCCTTACAGATCACAATACATTCAGTAACAGTGACAGTATCACTATAAACATAAAAATAATAATTCGCACGAACATACAGAAAATCGCTCGGGTCTGAATGAACTTAACATGTTTTGCACACATGCTGGTTGCCTGCTGTTCTAGTAAGTGTTTAAGTCAACAAACACAAAAGCGCTGTACTCAATTAAAACCAGGCAGAAACGACCTCGTATATTGTTGCATAAACATACTTTGTAAAGTGTGTTTTACAGCTGTTTCAAATATGATAAATACCATGAACTGCTCACCTCACAAGACTCGACGCTGACTGAGGGAGCGCGCGCTAGTGATGACGTCTTCTTTCTTCTTCTTGGTTTACGGCGGATCGCAGACTTATAAGTGCATTACCGCCACCCAGCGGTGTAGTCTAGTTTTACCAGCATCAGACCTGAAAGTGCTGGATCTGAAGATGACCTACTTACTGTGATTCTATTGTGTTTTCCCCCCAGCAGGACAGTGTCTATAATTCTGTTCATATATATGCATCGATTTAAAATGTTCCACATGGCTCATATAGGCTCAGTATTAAGTATTTAGCAGTAGGTATGTTCTTAATTTTAAACATGTAATGCAACTAGGCAGTTGAGGCAGCTTAATCAAAAATCGTGTTTAGATGAATGCATCTCAGGAGACAGGAAGTGAAGCTAACATTGGATTTGGACTTTGTTGCCTTCCTATTTTGGAAAAAACGAATCCTTCAAAGGCAGGCTTTTTCAGTGCTGTAAAAGCAGTTTTAGGTTCAATATTCGCTGGATATTTGCCTAGGCAATTATTTTAGAAAAAAAAAAATACATAAATGTAATTTTCGCATTGTAAAAGTTCATTACACTAAAAAAAAGGCTGGGTAGGTTTTCAACCCAAATGCTGGGTTGAGATTGCTGGGTAAGGACGTTGGGTTGATTTAATCCTATCTGGGTTGAAAATTGGTCTTAATCTATTACCCAGCGGCACTGGGTTGGAAACGCGGACGTGAAAGAGAGCATGCATATCACGTTAACATCGGACGACACCAGTGCGAGAAGCCGCCATTTTCTCAGCGTCTTCAGATGGAAGCGAGTGAAAGACAGTAGAACAAGTAGGTTACCGAATGAAATGAAACACGCAAAAACTAGCCATGAAGAAGTCTATGCTATGTCATTCAGTATAGTTAAATTTTCACAAATCATGCTATAAACATTCATAAGAGCACTAGACAAAGTTATTGTAGTTATGTATTGTTGCATGAATAATAAACAACTGATAAAATTATCCACCCTTAAATATAGTAAAGTATTAAAGGGTTAGTTCATCCAAAAATGAAAATTAGGCTGTGTTTTACTCACCCTCGAGGCATCCTAGGTGTATATGACTTTCTTCTTTCAGACGAATCCAGTCAGAGTTATATAAAAAATTGTCCTGGCTATTCCAAGTTCTATCATTGCAGTCAGCGGGTGTTGAAGTTGAACAGTCCACAAGTCGTCAAATAAAGCGCGCGCATCCATAATAAAACGTGCATCACACGGCTCCGGGGGGTGAATAAAGGCCTCCTGTAGTGAATCCATGTGTTTTTGTAAGAAAAATGTCCATATTTGAAACGTAATAAACACTTTTTTCTCACTTCCGGTATCTGTCATACACTGAATCAGTTCCGGTGAATGACACAGCACGTATGCGCAGCGCGCACGCCTCTGAGATATGCTAGTCTCACGAGTTTGTTTATAGGAGCAAAGGAAGCAAAGTTTCCTTACTTTAGCAAAGGACAACCAGTCTCCTCTTGGTTTATATCTAAATCCTCCGACATTTTTCTTTGCAAATCCTCGGTTTGTACTTCTAATTCATGACCGGCGTTTTGTTTTGTTCTCTCTCCACTTTCGTCACTAATCACGCAACGCCGACGTCATACGTCATCCGCCGGAACTGCTATAGTGTATGACTAGGGCTGGGTATTGAGTTCGATACTTTTTAGGCACCGACCGAATTGCCTCGATACCATCGAGTATCGAAAAACGCCTAACAGATGTGTAAACTGAAGACTATTTGAGCTTTATTAAAACTATTTTGTTCCTTTGTGCAGTGGCTCAGGAGATGAGTCTTTGAGTTTGTATAAACATCAACAAGCTGAAAAATAAAACCAAAGTTTTTTTTGTTAGATAATGTAATCTTGTTAAAATTGATTTCATAAAATTGGTATCGAAAAAAGTATCGTTCAGGAACCGGTATCGAAGTCAAGGTATCGGTATCGGTATCGATATCGAAACATTTTGAACGATACCCAGCCCTATGTATGACAGAGCTTTTTTTGGTATAACGCCTAAACAAATTTTCTTAAAACCTCTTTTTTTTTTTCAACTTCAAATTTGGAATATAACTTATTCAGACATAAGGCTTTAATTTTTATATTTTATATAACTGTAACTTAAATATGTTTTGGTCAGCAGCTAAAATAATAAAAAGTGTGCCTGTGTCAAAATATACAACCCAAATTCCTAAAAAAGCTTTTGAATTTTATTTGTTTGTTTGTTTGTTGTTGTTGTTGTTGTTGATGATGATGATGATGCATGTCACAAATGTATACATTTCTCTTTCAATATTGAGACTCAGACCTTTCCAACAATAATGTATTTTGTCAAGATTATGAAAAGTTTTGATTGTAAAATACCGTAATACAAAATGGTTTTCACAGGATTAATTTTGAGATTTTAAAAGTAAATAGACATTGTTCTTAAGGGGCATTTCCTAACAACTACAGACAGTTTGGATGAATAAGTCCAAGTGTACTCAATGGCGCAGTACATTCAGAATGTATTTTTGCATTCCACCGCACTGTTTTTCCATTGTTTTTCTGTGTAAATATGTTCTAGTCAGACTAGAGTTGTTGCACTCACATCTTTTGCAGCATCTCGTGCATGACACAGTGTTATAAACACGTGGTGCTCAAGTTAAAAGAAGTTCAACTTGAGACAAAGAGACAAAAAATGTCTCTAGAAAATTAGATTAGGCCTGTTGAGGCATCTGTGCCTTTTGTTCATATGGACATGAAATGGTTTTAAAATTACTGTATATCATTTATCCCAATTGTTTCTGTGACAATATATCGCCCAACAAAAAGTATTGATCGTGACAGGCATACGTGTAGCATTGTTTGGACTGTTAAATATTGTGATATTGTTTAAAATAGGAAGATGGTGCCAGCATGTTGCACGGCAAGCCGTCGCGTTCCTGGCTTTTTAACTGTTTGTGCTGTTATGCTAGTTTTGTCCATGTTTTTGAACTCTGTTTTATCTGTGCTGAGGTACGATCGCTCAACACTTCTGGAAATTCAAGCCTTAGTAAACTGTGTGGATTATCAGTATGGTTCTGGCGGCCATAATTTCCCTAAGCACCTGATGTCCATACCGCCAGAGCTATCTTGTCTGCACTGCGGCTCGCTCTTCAAGAAGAAGTGGCACAAAAGACGAGGAAAGCGCGGCGGAAGGTTAGCAAGAAATGCGAGGAATGTACGTGAAGTCTGTGCAAATTATCAGCTTCTACGGACGTGGCTCCTACCGGTGTACCCTGTGCAGCCCGTGCCAGTACTTCGAACTTTGCGGGGGAAAAAATATGACAAATATGACAAGGATTTCATTCAGGACTTTTCAGACTTTCTTTCTTTATTGTGTCGACCACTGACAATCTATTATTCATCGGGGACTTTAACATCCATGTATGCTGCCCATCGAAACCATTAGTAAAGCAGTTTGTTGATCTTGTGGACACTTTTAACCTAACTCAGTCTATATGTGATGCTACCCATAGACATGGACATACTCTTGATTTAGTTTTATCTATGGGTCTGTCCATTAGTAATGTGGTCATAGTGGAAAACTGTATATCTGACCAAAGATCTCTCATGTTTAATATTGATCTGCCAGCTGTTATCTCGAATAATAGATCTGTTGACTGTTATTTCCGTCCTGTAAATGAGATTACAGCAAAGCGTTTTGCTGAGGCTTATGAGGCAAGCCCAGGGCCTGCTATCATTGAGGCTTCTGGATCCTCTCTAGATATAGAGGAACTGTTTTTAATTCTGTATGTGTGGACATTATGAATGATGTGGCTCCACTCAGACTTAAAAGGTCTAAACCTCAGTCTCAGCCATGGTTTAATGATGAAACTCATGCTCTTAAATGGGCCTGTAGGAAAGCTGAACGCAGATGGAGAAAAGACAGATTACAGATTATTGTATGTTCTTTTGGCATTTCATTTATTGTATACCTTTTAAATTATCTTATTGAAAGAACAACAACAGCAGCAGTATGGTGTAACATTTATTTGAAACACATGTATTTGGTACTTGCTACCTTATGTCTTTACTCTTTCCTTTCATTCTTTTCATGGCTTTGGAAAACTTTCATCTGATGTTTCTCTACGTCGCTTTTTGCATAACTCCGGATCGTCGACACCAAGCTTCGTTGCAATTTCATTCAAGGAATTAAATGCTTTCTCTGAATCTTTAAAGTCTCTCTGCGAGCGATTGTACAGGTGCGGATATATTTATGGCAGCTCAGCTATTCGACACAGTGTATTTATGTTGCTAGTGACTTGGAGATGTTGTTCTCCTGCCTTACCTCCGTTGAATGAGAAACAAACGGGAAAAAAATTGCATGTCAAAGAAGGTGGAGTTCCAGAACACATCCACCGATTGCATAATCGCCACGGACCAATGGTAGCTCAAAGGTGTTTAGAAGCCAAAACGAACTCCCCCAGAAAGTTCGCTTTGGTCAGTTGTTTCGAACTGCTGAAATGAACTTCATTTCGGCCTGATTTCGTTCGAAATGACATCATATAAGTTCGTTCTTTGATTTCGTTTGAAGTATATCGAGGCCTTAAACCTTATCACTATGGGCTATGGTGATGATGATGATGATATTTCCCTACAAGTATTTAGATTATTGTTTGATCAACAGGAGGTTGTCAGTGACAGAATCTAAAACCTTTACATTTACAACCATATTGTAATCGTCACATCTCACCACTGAACAGTGATTGCTTGACAGAAGGCAAAGGTGAACAGCACAGTGCAGGTAAAGCTTAGTGGAGTTTGCAGTGAAGATAAACATCCTGAAGGAGAAACGGCTGGATGACGAGACACCGTTCTGCAGCAGCTCCACTGTGTCGTCATTTGGATTGGGACACCTGAGAATGTCAATGATAATCAATAAATTAAATTCTTTCATGCAAGACATTCTATACCAAAGTCGCCCTGTGCTTTAGTACTGAAATACTGAAAAGCAAAGAATCCCTAACAAGGAAATGTTAAATTTTTTTATTCAATCTATGTGCAGA